CACACACACACACACACACACACACACACACCAGATTACCAAATACATTGTTTCTTTTTTTTTGACGGTCATGGGACCTGAACTCTGGGCCTGGGCACACTGTCCCTCAGCTGTTCAGCTCAAGCTAGTGCTCTACCACTTGAGCCACAGAGCCGCTTCTGGCTTTTTCTGCTTATGTGGTGCTGAGGAATCGAACCCAGGGCCTCATTCATGCAAGGCAAACACTCTACCACTGAGCCACCTTCCCAGCCCCTCTTGTTTCTTTTGTATGTTCTTTCTCCTATGGTATATCACCTGTTGTCACTGTACTTCTGGCTTTTTCTGAGTAGACTTTTCTGCCCGGGCTGGCTTCAAACCACAATCTTCAGAATTCAACCTTCTGAAGTAGCTAAGATTACAGGCAAGAGCCACTGGCGCTCAGCTATAAACACATTTTTAAATGCAGAAAGTCATAAACTATTTTAAAAATTGCCTGTGTTCTTACCTCCCAGAGATTACCACTGTTATTTTGTTTTTTGCCACTTTGTTTTCAATAATGCCAGATTTATAATGAAGAAATTTGGGATCTTCTATGCCCGTCTCGTGAGAAAGCCTCTCAAATAAATATTCGGGAGGATCCTAAGGAAGGCATAAAGGTATGTTTATCTTTCATTTGATATTACAAATGTTGGCAAATACTAAATTTGATATTACTTTTTACTGCCACTATAGTTTTAACTATTAACATATCAGTTTTTCAGGTTTTGTGTTGTCCTGATTCCCTCTGTGAATCTAGAATTCCTAGACAGGAGCTTTGTGATGAAGGGAGTGAGAGAGGGAAGGAAATGGAGGATTCAATTTTACCACCTTTTAATTCTTGAAGGAATATTAATATCAATAACTTTTCACAGAGTTCTGAAGCTAAGCTATCCCGTATTGTATCCACTTGCCACAAGTGACCATTTAAACATATAGTAGTTAAAATTGGGTGAATTTAACAGTCAGTCTCATGTACACAAGCCACATATCAAGGGCTCCATATCTGCATGTGGCTTCTGACTACAACATTGAACTGCTGTTTTGTAACTGTGCAGTTCAGAAAATTCTGTTTGACAACATGATAGCAAACATTGTTCTCAACTATCAGAAGATATAAAAAGGTGAAAAGTAAATACAAGAATATTTAAATGCATGTCACCGTACAAAGGGGATCACTTAATTTAGACCCTCTATCACATGGCATTGATGCACAGTTTAACAACTGAGGAATAAAAGAATCAGGTTAGATGGGAACATACTTTGGAAAAGAAGTATAGAACTCATATCTTAACCATTTCCTTCTCCTCTACAAAGCAAGTTGAAGATTTTAAGTAAGGGTCAAATGCCTATGCTTCTAAATCTTCCTTCTAGATCATTTTAGCCAGGTACCAAAAACAATGTTTTGACAATTTGGATAATAGTTACATGAACCTGGGTAAAATACATGCTATCACCAGAAATAATATTAGTACTGAACTACCTCTCAGTCCTATTCTAAGATTTTTTTCAAATGGCCCAGGAGATGAGATGAGCAAATCAAAGAAGTATATGTTTCTGACATAAATTGGGATGGATAGACAAGTTTGTAAACTTTTTTTTTCAAATAAGATGGATGGAATTTAAGGAAGTAGAGAAAAGAAATAAAAGAATACTCTTCTAGTAGGGAAAAGCTTCATCAGAAAAGCAGTATAAGCTTTGATCAATCTTACGGAGTTGGTTGGGCTGGGACGTAACAGTGGATTTGTTTAGAAGTCATCCCAAAGAGCTTACTTCTATTCCTGGGAACAGTATATAACTAATTCTGAATGAAAGGTTGTCATGGCTACTTTGATCATGTTTTATCTTATGTGTATCTCCAACTGTGTCAGCTCCTGGAGTTTGGGAGAATATTTTTAAATTTCCATGTGTTCTCATTATCTAGCACAGGGTTCAGCAGTTTGGTGACATTTTAGGAAGCAAGATTTTTAGGAAGATTGGATAGAAATGGATTGAAAAGGAGAAAGATTAGGATGAGGAAGAGCAATTGAGGAAATTATTGCCTTATTTTTCAGACATAAAGTAATTAGGAGCCAGGACTCAGCTAGTAGATTTGGAAAGGGAAAGAAAGCAATGGACATGAAAGAAGAATTTCTAGGAGTTGGTGATAGGTGAGAAATTGATAAATGAAAGCAAGTTTGAGAATTTGAGAATAGAGATTTTAATAGTAATGGAGTAGTAGAGGGAATAAGGTAGAAGGAAATTAAGTTTGATTTATATTTTACTGATTTCAAAGTATAAGTAATAGCTAGTTACAGATAAAGGACTAGCCAAGTGCTGGTAGCTCACCCTTATAGCTACTCAGGAAGTGGAGACGTGGAGAATCACAGTTCAAAGTCAGTCTAGGCAGAAAAGATTAAGAGGATCCATTTCAAATTAACCAGTAAAATCCTGGGCAGGAAACTTGAGTCATGTGGTAGAACACACGTGATGAGCAAGAAAGCCTAGCAAGAGCGTAAGGGCCCAAGTTGAAGCCTTGGTGCTGGCACAGGAAAACAGAAAGGAAGGCCTAGAAATTAGGACCACAGGTGTAGATTGGGGAACTGTGGAGTAATAAAGTCAGAGCATATTGGGGCTAAAAGGGCTCTCCTAGTCCTAGCCCCACTCCTACCAAAATTCCAAGAGATTGTAACTTTTATAGGTTCTCTTAAGGACAGTACCAAGCCTGAGATCCTTTTTCCTGACTTCCTAAGTCACTGAAAACTGTGCCAGAGTATTTTCTTTAGTAAAAGTGAGGTATAGAATGGATGCAAGGTAATGAAAAGATCACGGAGTCCTGTTGAAGAGAAATAGCATAAAAGTTTGTATTAAGGTGGGCGCCAGTAGCTACTCAGGAGGCTGAGATCAGAGGATCTCGGTTCAAAGCCAGCCGGGACAGGAAAGTCTGTGAGACTCTTATCTCCAATAAATCACTAGAAAACCCGGAAGTGGAGCTGTGGCTCAAGTGGTAGAGCTCTTGTCTTCAGCTGAAGAGTGCAGGGACAGCACCCAAGCCCAGAGTTCAAGCCCCGCTACCCACCAAAAAAAAAAAAAAGTTTGTGTTACACTTTTCTCCTTTGGGCCAAAATTTAGTTTCTTTTGGGGCTCCTTAGAAGGAATCTAGTTTTTTCTTCTGTAGCTCCAGTGTTGGATAGAACCCTTGTCTCTGAAGTTCCTATGGATGATTAACTTTGAATGTTAACATCTCAAAATTGTTGGTTTAAGACTCATCATTTTCATGCTTATTTATTGAGGCTCTGCTGGAATATCAAAAAGTTTTTAAACTATCAATCCCTCTTTTTCTGATCAAGCATTTGAAGTATGAATCATAAAGGAATTTATTCTTTCTTTCTCGGAATTAGATTGTGGGACTCACTGAGAAGATTGTTGTAGTTGCCTCAGATACTGTTTTTTGTTTGGAGCAAGGCAACAACTCTAGAACTGTGGCCTCCACCGCTATGAACTCCCAGTCATCGAGATCTCATGCCATCTTTACAATCTCCATAGAGCAAAGAAAGAAAAATGACAAGTAAGTTATACTTTAAGGGAATCATGATTTTTTTTTGTTCTAGGAAGGTTGAATACTAGCCTACCTCTTAATTGATTAGACAAATCATTAGACATTAGTATTATGAGCATTAGTGGCCATGGGAACTATTTCTGCTGACATGCAAGAAAATGGGAGCTCATAGATCAGCTTTGATACACAACTACTCAAGCACGTACAATATTCTCACTTGTGTCTTCCTGCCATTATTATAGGAATAGCAGCTTTCACTCCAAGTTGCATCTTGTAGACCTTGCTGGATCAGAAAGACAGAAGAAAACCAAGGCTGAAGGGGATCGTCTAAAAGAGGGTGAGAATAATTAAGATCATAGATAAAATCTTATATGTCCTTGTTTTGATTATTGTTTTGAATGATCTATTTCAGGTCACATTCTAATAGCTATGATTCAAGTTTGAGGCTGATTTTAGAAATAGTGAAAACTATTTTTTTCCCTTGCACTCATTCTCTAATTCAGGTATAAGATTTGGATCTGGCCTTTGTTTTGATTTCATCTAGTTCAGGCAAGTTTCAGTTTTAGTTTTACCCCTCCCTCAAGTACTTATAATTAAAATAAATATTATGATAGTATTCCAAATATTCACAATCCCTTGCAGATGTTGCATATATAAACTTTATAGCATGATTGCCATATCTGCATTAAAGGTGTTGGATCTAAATAATGAAGGGAGCTCTTTTTTTTTTTTTTTTAAGGAAGCTCTTAAGGCTAGAAAATCCTTATGGTATATGTTACTAGAAATCTTTATGTGTAGTATGATAGTGACTTGGTGATCCGCATTCTTTGGGAATGGTCTTTTAAGAGATTATTAATTTCTTTACCAAAAATTAACATATACTTTCTGTTACTCAGTTTTGTTCATAAGGCTCTCATAAAAAATGTCAAATACCTTGCTAAGTCCAGATATATTATGTCTACCATTTTTCTAATAGCTACCAGCTTAGTAACAATACAAAAAGAAACAGGGATTAACCTAGAATGACTTTTTCTTATTTAACTCAAGATGCCTCTAGTAGTCATGCTTCCATTTGTAAGTCCTTGCAAGCTGTCCTTGTAAAAATCCATTTTTCTTCACTGGTCTGTAATTCACCTTTTTTTGAAAAATGAAATTACATCTGCCCAGTCTTCTGGAACATCTTTCTCTGATTCTTCAAAGATCTTTGACATAACTTTAGTGGCCTCATTTGAAATTACTCTTAGTTCCCTTGGCTATTATTCATCTGGTCCAAGACACTTGAAATTTTATTGAAGTAGTTGTGTTCTCATTACCTCATTTTGGGCTTCTGTTTCTTCTTGGGAACTGAAAAGGCAGAAGAAAAAATAGTGATTGAGGAAACTTAACCTCTTTATCGTTATTTTACTGCTGGCACTGGACCTACTTCAACCTTTTGTTTGAATATATTTTAATGTACTTTTTCATTTTACAAAATAATGAATTTCATTGTGATGTTTTAGCACATTTATACCATATATTTCTATTATATTTACCCACTATCACCCTCTCTGGAATACTCAAAAGTATCCCTTTTGCACTATTTTTGTACTTTGGAATTTAGCTTTGTAATTTTTAAAGTTTTTTTTTTTTTTTGTCGGTTGTGGGGCTTGAGCTCTGGGCCTGGGCACTGTCCTTGCACTCTTCAGCTCAAGGCTAGCGCTCTACCTCTTGAGCCACAGCACCACTTCCAGTTTTCTAGTGGTTTTTATTGGAAATAAGAGTCTCACGGACTTTCCTGCCCTGGCTGGCTTTGAACCGCGATCCTCAGATCTCAGCCTCCAGAGTAGGTAGGATTACAGGTGTGAGCCACTGGCGCCTGGCTTTAAGTTCTTATACTTTTAAAATCTCCCTTTAGGTGTACAGTTTCAAGTTGTTTTATTAAGACATAATTCATATATCAAAGATTAACCCATTTAAGCTGTGGATGTATGTTCAGTTGTGCAGGTATTACTGTAGTCTACTTTTAGAACATTTTATCATTCTAATAAGCCTCGTACCCATTGACACTCATTCCCCATTCATGCCTAGCCCTAAATACATTTCACATAAGTATGATCTCATAATATGTCATCTTTTGTGACTGACTTCTTTCATTTAGTATAAGGTTTGTAGGGCTCATTCATGTCGTGGCATGGAATTAATACTTCATTCCTTTTTATTGCTAATTCAGTTATATGGCTAATACCACATTTGTTTGTCTTTTCATTAATGGTATCTAGTTTTGCTTGTTATAAACAATATCTGAATATCCATGTATAAGTTTCTGTGTGCAGAAATTTTTTAATTCCTTTTTTGAAAATTTTGTTGTCAAGGTGATGTACATAGGGGTTACAATTACATAAATAAGGTAGTGAGTACGTTTCTTGTCAAATTTATTACCCCCTCCCTCATTTTCCTCCCATTTCCCCTCCCCCTCGCCCTCCACCCCTGTGTTAATTCTTATGAGTCTGTACCTAGATGTATAATTGCTGGGTATTATAGTAGATTTGTACTATTTATTGTAAAGGTGATGTACACGGTATTAGATTAACATAAATAAGGTAATGAGTACATTTCTTGTCAAACATTGTTACTCCCTCTGGTTTTCTCCCACTTTCCTTCCCCCCGACTCCTTCCCCCAAGTTATAAAGTTTATTTCCAACATAATGTCTTGTGAGTATCGCTGTTGCATTGGTTCACCCTTGTCCTTTGTCTCACCATTTTGCTATTCTTCTCTTCCCCAAATGAGATAAACGTATACACAAGACACGGGGTACCAAAAGCAAAAACAGTGACAACAGGAGATAAACCAAAGGGGGAAAAATGAAAGAAGAAACAAATAACTTCACAAAGTACATTAAAGAACAAAACAAAAAACCCTCTTGTTTCCATGTCTTGGAGTGCATTTTGATTAGCATCATTTTATATGGTCTATGTACATAGCTATTGAGCTATTGGGATCCTACGCTAGGACTATCCTAGACATATACTAAATTAAAATATGATTAACATGAATTAAATTCACCCCTTTTAACATATACAAGACAGTGATTTTCAGTGTATTCACAAGTTTTATAACTATCACCACAGTAAATTTTAGGATATTTTTACATGTCCCCCACAAAGAAACTTATAACGATTAGCAGTTGCTCCCCTTTTTCTGACCAATGTCTTTCCCCCTACTCCTAAGCAGTTAAGAATTCTGTCTCAGTAGATTTACCTCTTCTATCATTTCATGTAAAAGGAAATTATGCAACATGTGGTCTTTTGTTACTGCTTTTACATAGTATAATGTTTCCAAAAAACATCCATATTATACCATCTATCCATAATTTCTTCTTTTTTATTGCCAAACAGTATTCCATTGTATAGAAATACTGAATTTATGGATGTCTAGTTGTTTCCTGTTTTAGTTATTATAAGTAATGCTGCTCTGAATAATTTTGCACAAGGTTTTTATGAATGTATGTTTAGATTTCTTTCTTTTTAGGTTTCTTTTCTAGGTATATATCTAAGAGTGAAGTTGCTGAGTCATATGGTAACTGCATGTTTTAACTTGTTAAAGAACTTCCACACTTTTCCAAGGCAACTGGACCATTTTATGTTTTAATTAGCAATATGCAATAGTTCTAACTTCTCCATATTTTTGTTTGTGTCTTTCTGTTCTAGGGCTTAAACCCCTGGCCTTGAGCTATCTCATTTTTTTCCTCACAGCTGGAGATCAGCTACTTGAATCACACTTTGACTTCTACCTTTCTTTTTTCTTTTTCTTTCTTTTTTTTTGGTGCTGTTTCTGAGGCCTCTCAAGACTAGTGCTCTACCACTTGAGCCACAGTGCCACTTCCCACTTTTTCTGAGTAGTTTATTGGAGATAAAAAGTCTCATGGACTTTCCTGCCAGGGCTTGCTTGGAACCACAATCCTCACATCTTAGCCTTCTGAATAGCTAGAATTACAGGTGTGAGCCACCAGCACCTGGCTATTCCCAGCTTTTTGTTGGTTAATTAGAAATAAGTTTCTCCAGCCTGGGCTGGCTCCAGACCTCAATCCTCAGATCTTAGCCCTCTGAATAGCTAGGATTATAGACTTGAGCCACTAGCACCTGTCTGTCTTCTTCTTTTTTTTTTTTTTGGTCGGTTGTGGGGCTTGAACTCTGGGCTTGGGTGCTGTCCCTCAGCTCTTCAGCTCAAGGCGAGTGCTCTACTGCTTGAGCCACAGTGCCACTTCTGGTTTTCTAGTGGTTTATTGGAGATAAGAGTCTCATGGACTTTCCTTGTCCGGGCTGCTATGAACTGTGGTCCTCAGATCTCAGCCTCCTGAGTAGTTAGGATTACAGGCATGAGCCACCGGCGCCCTCTTTGTCTTTTTAATCATAGCATTCACAGTGGATGTGAAGTGGTATCTCATTGTGGTTTTTATTTATATTTCACCAATAACTAATGATTATTGTCTCGTTTATTAGCAATTTGTCTATCATTTGAAAAAAACATTTATATCACATGTAGATCTTTAATCAAATCTCAACTTTTGCATAAGATATGAAATAGTTATCTAGCCTTCTATCTTCTATATGTGGATATCTAGTTATTCTAGTATTACTTGTTGAAAAAAAAGAAACCTGTTCTTGTATATCTTGTTGTACAAGATACTATGTTGAAAACGAACTTTACAACATTGGGCGGGTGTTGGGGAGTTGGGGAGGAAAGGGATGGTAGGGGAAAAACAAAGGAGGGGGTAACTGCTCCATAAGAAATGGACTCATTACTTTGCTCATGTAACTGTAACCCCTCTGTACAGTATCTTCACTATACAAACAACAAAACAAAACAAAAAACCTGTTCTTTCTCTATTCAGTTTTCTTGGTCTCCTTGTCAAGAAGCATTTATAGTATTCCATTGATTTTCATTTACCCTTACACTGCTATTGCACTTTCTCAATCACTTTCGTTGTGCAGTAGATTTTGAAGTTGAGAAGGTTGCTCTTTCTCAAGATTATTCTGGCTATTCTGGGTCCATTGCATTTCCATATGAATTTTAGGGTCCACTTGTCAATTTCTGCAAAAGCCAGCAGAAAAAAACAGCATAAATTTTCAGAGAGAGATTACACTGAGTCTTGAAATTTGGAAATATTGCCATCTTGACAATGTTGTCTTTTAATGTACAAACATTGAATTATTGTGTTAAATATTTTGCAATAATGTTTTTCAGATTTTAGTGTTGTTTTTTACACTGAATTTAACTATTCTTTTCAGTACTATTATAAAATTGTTTTTTAATTTCGTTTTCAGTTTATTGAGTTTTGTGTATTGATCATGTATCTG